GGCCAGGCCAGGCGGGCGAGAGGCGAGCACAGGCAGCGGGCAAGAGAGGCTGGGCGAGCGGGCAGGCAGCAGCCCCCCTCCCCCCCCGGCAGGGCAGCCAATCAAATCCGCATCGCTCGCTCGCTCGCCCGTTCGCCCGCACGCCCGCTCGCCCGCTCGCCCGCTGCCTGGCTGCCCGCCGACCGATCCACTTCCAGCCAACCATCGTCCATCATCAATCCAACCCTCGACGTTCTCTGCCCTTTTGTTCGCGGCCGTCTCTCGCCTCCTTTGCTTTCGACTTCTCTTGGCCCACCGTCAGCTAGCATCCCCGCCATCGCCATCGCCATTGCCGTCGCCATCGCCACCGCAGCTACCCCGTCCATACACGACAACGACCAGCCGCCGCGCAGCCGCCTGCGGGACGAGAGGCGCGACCAACCACCCAGGCAGTCAGGGCGGCGCCGCCGACGACTACACCATCACCACCACGGGCAAGGGGTCATTCACGCCTAGCACAGCACTTCGCACTTCCACGCGCAGCAACGCTATTGCTTCCCATCGGTGCATTCCACGACCGTCATCGGGCAGCACATTTGGCCCTACCTGCGCCCTCGAGCGCTGTCTCTGTCGGTTTCAGTCAAAAAGTCTCTGCTGCTCGAGGCTTGACAAGCCGCAAAGCAGAGACGACCCGGGCCCGCTGCCGTTCAGGCCTGCCTCGGCCTCTGCCTGCCTCGCTCGCTCGCTCCGCCCACTGATTGGACCGAGTGAGCTCATCTCCTTTGCCCCGCCCTGAACCCCGGGCCGACGACCATGTCGGAAAAGTCGACGTTCCTCTCGCCATCCATGTCGCCGTCCTCGTCCTCGTCCGGCGGCAACGCGCCGCCACCATATCGCTTCCACCAGCTGCCCCAGACGCCCACCGGGTCCCGCACCCCTTCGCGGCCAGGCTCGCCCCCGCATGGCGGCAGCGTCCCTAGCCCGGGCGGCGTCCCGGGCACCTTTGTGCTCAACCTCGGCAAGTACGGCGGCTTCTACGTCATCCGGATACCGACGTCCCTCCAGCGCGTGCTCGGCCTCTTGCTGCGGAGGTGGAAGACACTCGTCTTTGTAGCGCTCTTTGGCACCCTCGCTGCCTTTGGTATCTTTGGCGCCATGTCGACCGAGTGGCGCGAGATGACCTACTACCGGTGAGTGGGCGACCGTCGAGCCGTGCCCCAGGAACCCTCCCGTGCGCTCTCCAAGGTTCCGCTGCGCTGACGACCGGCCACTCCGACTCTCGTTTCTCGTTCCTCTCTGCCCATCCTCGCCCTCTCGCTCCCCATCTCTTCACCTCGCAGCGTCGACCCGTACCCGATCATCTCGCATGGCATGAAGCCGGGGGCGTCGAGCCCGTTTCGCTCGGCGGCGCCGCAGCGGCCCATTGTCCCTCCCAAGTTCTCGGCATGCCTCGGTCCCAAGGGCGTGCCCGTCCCGCGCGCGCCCCTCGAGACCTACGACACGCCCGACAGCCACCCCATCCCGCTGGTGGGCAGCTACGAGGCCGCCGGCATGGACCCGACCAAGTGCATGACCTACCGCGCCCGCTACGAGATGTATACCGACGATGCGCTCGGCATCACCTACCGCAAGGACCCCGAGGAGATCGAGGACCTGCTGACGCAGCTCGACGACTACGACGACGATCCGGACAATGTCAAGCCGATCAAGAAGGCCAAGTCCAAGGCCAGCGCCGACGGCAGCGACGACGGCGAGGTCGATTCTGCCTCGGACGGTGCCGGCGAAGCGGACGGCTCGGCGGCCTCGCAGCAGGCCTTTGGCGCCAAGTCGCAGAGCGGCGACAAGCCGAAGCGGCAGAAGAAGAAGAAGGTTGACCCGCTCTACGGGCCCGAGAAGCCGGCGGGCATGAGCGAGGGCGACTGGGAGCGCCACCTGCGCGACCGGCTGTGGCGGGCCAACCTGCAAAGCGAGGAGCTCGGCCCCAGCAGCTACCCGGACTGGAAGGCGCTGATGGACGCCTGCTATGAAAAGCGCACCCACGACCGCGGCATGGCCGGCGGCGTCGACCGCTTCGACCCGCACTCGAGCGTCGTTGGAGGCGATGACGACGAGGGCAGCAGCGGCGGCGGCGGCGGCGATAGCAGCAGCAGCGGCGGCAGTGGAAGCAACAAGCGCAAGCACCACCGCACCACGCCCGAGACCAAGCGGACCGCCCTAGTGATGCGCGCCTACGAGGGCTACCCGTGGCGCGAGGACGACATCCTCAACATGCGCGCGCTCATCAGCGAGCTGTCGCTCAACAACCCCAACACGCCCTACGACATCCGCATCCTGGTCGAGGTCCACGGCCGCCACCTGGCCGTGTTCACGTCGGAGTGGGACCGCCTCAACGTGCTCCGCTCGAGCGTGCCGCGCGAGTTCTGGGGCATGGTCGAGCTGTGGACCGAGGACGAGATGTGCGCCCTCTACCCGGGCCTGCCCGGCAAGTTCCTCAACCACATGATTGCCCAGAGCTCGTACC